GATATTGTGCGGATACTACTTTGGTAGACTTAGGGCTGGGTAATACAGACTTTTCCATTCTAGTATATTATAGACGACTATGGATATTCTCAGACTAGCAATTCCTTCAAAATTAGCCCCTTCTTTTTGTTGTAGATTCCTTTAAAGGAATGCTCCAAAATATTAATAATAACAATGATCTGATCAGGCTTGAAACAAAAATCCAGCCCAAACTCTCCATTCAATCAGTATTATAATTTTTTCTCATTGACTTCATTCATGTCTATTTGATCCATGAGGCTGATTTATACAGCAAAGAGCAAAGAAGAGAGGTCTCTGAACTGGAATTTGAGAAAGAGAGATGGAAATTTTCTGCCAAGTTTATGCACAGAAAAGAACACAATCAAATTAGGAAACACTAGAGAGCAACAGAGACAGTTCATACAATACTTTCCTTTTGACAGGCCAATAAATACTCAAGCTGAATAATTTACCAAAAGAAAAAGAGCCCACTCAAACCTCATGACCTTTTGAACAATGAGCAAGAGTTCAATTATCCACAAATGTTCTAGTAGAAGGCAGCTTTCCAGGCTGCAGTGTTATTTCAGCAGTCATACATTAGAATTAGTAGAGGGAGAATATTGCCTTTGTAGTTTCTGTGTCCTGCTATAGTTTCTGTTACCTTCTTTTACAAAACCTACTGCCACATGAAGTAGCACTTTGCCAAAAAAGAAGAAAAAAAGTAGGAGGAAGCAATTATTTTAATAATGTTTCTGGCGGGTCTGAGCTATTAGATTTCACTGGGACACTTTATCTGCACATTTACTAGAGTGATACTGTCACTTTAGAAAGTATATAATTTGCTTCCATTAGAGGCTGAGAGTCACTTGCCGACAGGGCCCAGAGAATTTCTCTACTGCCATCCACGTGGGCTGCCGTCTTGCAAAGTGACCAGCTCATCACTTCTGTGGGACACACTGAGGTTCCAAGAATTGGAGAGCTTCTTCCGTCACTGATAGCTTGTAAAATCCAACAGTTTCCCTTAGACAAAAGGCTGTAGAAGTCATATGGAATATCACACATTTTGCAACTGAAGCACTAGAGCCTACTAGCAGTATGAAAGCAGATTAGGAACTTAGTTCTTCTGGAGGAGACATATTTATTGTGATTGAAATTTAACATCAAAAAGCCTTTGTCAGTTCTCTCACTTTTTTTTTTTTTTTTACAATCTTGTTAACTCTTTATGTGTTTCCTATATCTTTCTGAATTGTTAAGATTAGAACCAAGATCCTACAAAAATAAAACTCTGGCTGGTCTAAAGATCGTAGAAACACAGTTTCAGTATTTTGACAGGGAGTGATTTCTTTTTTATGCACTGATTGTGCTAACAGAGGAAAAAGCTGAATTCTTATTAGAGCAGAATCAACTAAATTCTCAAATATACCTGAGGTCTGAGGCAACTGCGGTTTTTGTTGTTGTTGTTGTTGTTGTTGCTGCTTGTTTGTTTGTTTGTTTGGCCGTGTGGTCTTGGATGAGTTTCCAAATCATTAGTCACTATTCTGTAAGAAGGGGAACATCACTCTTACCTTGTGGTACTGTTGTGAGGATTGGAAATAGCACGCACGAAGTTCTTAGTGCTTGGCACACATTAGGTGCTCCAAACAGCAGTTATGCTTTCTCTTTTCCTTCTCTTCTTCTTCTCCTTCATCTCTGATTTTATATTAAAGCTGGACTTTTCTCACATACCCTTACCGAAAAACACCCTTGTCTCTTTCCTTTCACAAATGTCATTTAGATTTTGAATCTATCATTCTAAAAGCTTAGTCATGATTTTTATTCAGTGATTCCAGAAACTCACCAAGAATGGGTCTTATTGCATTACACAGGTCATCAGCAGACAATTTAAATGTCACCTGGTCTATAAATTGAGTTTACTGCGTAGGTAGCGTAGGCATGAGTTGCTAGGAGTGTGGCTTGCCTACCCTCATTATCCGGACTACCCACTTTGAGCCGTCCTATTTTCTAAAATCCTTATCACATTCTCTTTTGTCAGATTTTAGTGTGAAGCATAGCACTTGTCATAAAGATGTTATTAATATGTAACCTTTCAAATCTCTAAAATACGATGAACCTTACATATGTGAGCTAATTGAGAAAAAAAATTGTCATATGCACAATAAGCTTTACATGTGCGTCAATGTTTCCTTTGAGAATAAATTTGCTCTCTTTATTTCTTAATAAAGAGGGTTTTTTTTAGTGTTAATCAAACATATTAAGAAGCAGGTGGCAGCATTCTGTCAAGTTAAAGGAGCAGCAGTACAAACACTCTCTTTATTAACATTATTCATGAAGTTTCTCATTGGAAACAGCACTAAACTACTTACTGTTCACCATAAGGGTAGAGAAAGCGCACTGGAGTTTCCACATCAATGACATGTTGCCCTCTGCCCAGTGCCATTCTTTGGCAAAGAGAGAAGAAGCCGTTTCTCAAACTCAGCATGCCATTTTTTAATTCACACTTAAATTTCCACTTGAGGAAGCAAGCCAAAACAAACTAGTCCTCCCTGAGATGCACCCTGGGAAGAAGTGCCCTCCCAACTTTAATAATTATGGGAGAAGAGTTTTTCTCCCACTCCCCTTTTCCATCTGAATAGGAGTTGCTTATTAGGACCTCCTTGTTTTCTATTCTTCTATTTGCATAATGCACAGATGTCAATCTGCTGGCTCCATTCTTTCCCACAGAATTACAGTCTTGTTTGCTGAGTAAGTTGTTTTCTCTTTGGAGCTACAATTAGGGATACAATATATAAAAGTCGTAAGATTAAACAACTATCAGCATTTGTTGATTTTTTGAACATCTGTCCGCATTTAGATTGAAAGATATTATATTTTTAGTTAATCAGATCTTGATTTGAGACTGCTTCTTCTTTTGTAAGTTCACCTATGTGCATGCCTGCAAAACGCTATGCATATTTAGGGAAATTTCTATTTAAACATAGGATGGCTTGGGGTACCTGGGTGGCTCAGTCATTAAGCGTCTGCCTTCGGCTCAGGTCATATCCCAGGGTCCTGGGATCGAGCCCCGCATTGGGCTCCCTGCTCTGCGGGAAGCCTGCTTCTCCCTCTCCCACTCCCCCTGCTTGTGTTCCCTCTCTCGCTGTGTCTCTCTCTGTCAAATAAAGAAATAAAATCTTTATAAATAAATAAATAAATAAATAAATAAATAAATAAATAAACAAACATAGGATGGCTTGAGGATATGTAAACAGCTGTTATTATTGCCTGACTCATTACATACATCTTACCCATCTTTTAAAGTACACTACTGTAAATGGAAAAAAATCATTATTTAGTTACCAGAGCTTGGTAACAAAAATTAGAAACTATGGTTTTATATCTACCACAAATAACTTCTCAGTGATTAACATGGATATTTAATTGGATTTTTTTTTTTCTTCTCCATCTGAGTTCTATGCAATTCAACTTAATTCTTCAAATGCCAAATCTATTTTGTATCATTAATTGTTTTGGCATTTTCTTTTCCTAAATTTCCAAGGAAGTATTTTTCAGGAGAGGATGGTACACAAGGCCATAGCACTATAAGTGAAAGAGACACACGTCTGAATCACACGGAGTTCCAAAGAGAACCAAAAATAATTATGCTGCATAGATATAGTAGAATTGGGGGGAAATACTTCTTATCAGGATATTCATCTAACAATAGTATTTTGGGAAGCAAAATATTTTAGAAAGCAAAACATCAATAACATGCAGCGAAATTTGATTCACAAATATTTCACTCAAGTGGGATATTTCTGGAGTCTTACTACATTTAAATTTTTCTCTGCTCTTTCAATTTGGGCTATACTTGGTATAAATTTGTTCACCCAGCGGTTGATGATTAGTTTTTGAACAGTGAAGTGCATGCAAAGATTCACAGCATTTGTTCATCTTTATAACAATTTTGGACAAGGCTTCTTGGAAATTTAAGTAAAAATTTACAGCCATATGTCATAGCATGGTCTTGTAAATTTAGTTAAATAATAGTGAACATAAATTCTCAAGTAAGACCAGTTTTTTGGCCAAGATTTAGAAGCTGTTTAATTCATTTTTAAAAATAAATTGTATTTTAATGTCTAGAAAATATGACTTGAATTGCTACCTAAAAAATAAAAAAGAGGTGCCTGGTGGTAAACACATGCAATCACTTTTACAGCCTCCATTTTTCTTGAAGGTGGCAAATATATACAAGATGCAAACTAATCACAATATTGCATCATTTTTCCACTTTTTATATATGTTACTCTTTTATACAAGCAGATAATATATAGAAGTTTGGGTTGATAAGACTCTATTATGATTGGGGAGTATTAGATTAGTTGTGTCTCACCAAGAAAATTCTCTTGATTTCTATCCTATGACTGACCAATTATGATTTCCATGACCTTCCAAGGTCTTGAACTGAACATTTCTAAGGTCTCCTGGAAGATGTGTAGTATTCAAACCAGGATAGCTAACATATCTGTAGTCACAGGGTTAAAAAAAATGTAGTAGGTTTGACTATACCCAATTTTTGCTTTCCTTAATTTAACTATGAATAAACTAATTATAAGAAATATTACGTGAGAACCAAGAATAACAAACTTATTATCCTCAGCATAGACCACATGAGAGTAAATAAAACAAATATATAGTTTTACAAGAAGAGGGAGGAAACTAGATTTGTAGATTAGAAAAAGAGAAAATGAAAAGTTACTCTTAGGTAAAATCTTCTTTGTCCACCTTACTTTCCCTAAAGAGTTCCATAGAGGAACTGAGAATAGATTTTTTTTTCTTCCTTTATTGGTTAGGGTACATATTGTTTAAAGATGAAAGAGAGAATCAAAGAAAAGAATGCCTAAGACTATTTTATTTTAACCATCATTAGTACGTAGTAGCACCAGACGCAACTTGGCAAGCCACATGCCAGAAAATCATATATGGAAACTCATATTGCCTTTTTTGACATGTTTTTTTTTTTTTAAGGAAGATTTATTTGACAAGTTTCACTTAGTGCAATACACCTAAAAGGAAATCACGATACAATGAAAGGTTTAAATCAAGGCCTCAGAATTTCATACAAACACCAAGACCAAAATCCTAACGTACGGTGTTGCGTCACAAAGTCCCCCATTAACTTAAAAAAAAAAAAAGCTTCAACTTACGTGCCTTAGAGGTTATTAAATGAAACCAGAATTAACAAACATGCCAAATGTGTTCACTTTTAATTGTGGACACAACTCCTATACTGAGTTTTACAAAAAAGCATGTCTTTCAACATGCATCCCTACAGTGTTCAATGTAATGTGGTAGAAGAGCAACATTTAACGTAATTCAACTGCTTTAACCTAAATACACTTGCTGCTTAAGTACATCCTACAATAGAACTAGAGAAAAGCTGAAAATTGTTTAACAGTTATAGTTTACTCCGTTGTTACTTCCTAGATGAATGTTTGTGTTAAAATATACTGAACCTTATGTCTTTAAAACAATCCTGATTTCCACTCAGAGTAAGCATCAATCACAAGCTTGTATTGCAAAACTGTTAAACTTTTTAAAAAAAACGTTGACCAAGAGTCAGTGATCAGGATCAGTTACATTTCCCATCCACCACTCATATTGGACATGCTAGACATCCCTCCCATTCCGTTCACTCCCATAGATGCTCGGCTTCCACTACTGTAGTAGCTGCTGTTCATTGCTCTCTGGCTGCCTATGCAATGTTTGATTGAAAATCACTGGAGTTTTCCTGTGAAACTTGGTCATATCCACTCATGCTGCTCTGGCCGCCATAGCCACCTCCATAACCACCACTCAGCTGTTGACTGGCTGGGCCGCCATAACTGGACTGGTTTGACAAGCCCATGCCTCCCATCATTTGGCTACCATAAGCACCACTGCTCGCTTCTGCTGTAGAATTCAAGAGGAGTTCTAAGTATCTGTGTTGCATATTTGCTTTGTCTTTTGACATAGCTGCCACAGCATCTTCATGAGTTGCAAACTCGACATCTGCGTCACCAGTTACTCTGCCATCGGGACCAATTTCAATATGTACTCTCACAGGATTGAGTGGTGAAAAAAAAATTATAAATGTCATTCTCAGTAGCTCTGTAAGGTAGTCCCCTCATGTATACACAATGCCCTGTTGTTCTCTGGCAAGTAGAGCCACCATCCCCATATCTGTGACCAGACATTCCTGAAAAACAGTAATTGAGGTCTCTTCCAAATCTATCCAACCCAAATCCATAGCCATCATTATAGCCATTATAATCCTCATAGCCCCCGTAACCTCCACCATAAGCACCACGCCTCATCCATTCAAAGCCAGCCCCCCTGCCACTGCTGTTATACCCTCTGCCAGCTCCAGGTCTGTCATACGGACCTGGCCGCTGCATGGCCATAAGCTTTCGTGGTGGATCATAGTGAGTTCTAACTTCAGCTCGACTGCTCTTAAAGATTTTGATATACCCGTGCCCTACTCTTTCCTTGTGTTTCTTTAGAACATTTTCAGCTATTTCCTGTGAAGCAAACTGCATGAAGGCCTCCCCCATACTCCTCCCCTGGAAGTCCACCAGCAATGTTATCCCATTTGGCATGATTTCCAACCCTGAGAAGAACTGAACAATTTCTTCCTTGCTACATCCAAAGGGGATTCCTCTAAGCCGTACAAAGCCATCATTGGCCGTGTCAGGACTATTTGGACCAGTATGCTTCAACACCCAATCCATTTCAACGTTGTTTGACTTGAATACTTCAACATATCTGTGCCCCATAGTTTCTCTGTCTTTTTTCAGGGCCAGTTTGACTTCATCTTCTGATTCAAGTTCAACAAAAGCCTCGCCACTCGGTCTGCCTTCTCTGGTGTAGATGAAACGAATACCTTGAGCCCCATTTTGAATTTTGCAGTCAGAAAAAAAAAAAAAAAAAAAAAAACCACTGCACTTCATCTGCCGAGCAAGACCAGGGCAAGCCCTGGACTTTTGCCACAAATCCCTCTCTGCCTTCAGTGCCCAACATCATCATCTCCTAGTGGGTCCTGGCATTGACACAGACTGGACACATGACTTCAGCGTGGCTGAGAAGAAATCTGACATAAGTATTTTTGAACAATCCTTCCAGTTCAGTACTTATCATTGGTAGTAGGTGTTATTGATTTAAATTAGACTTCTCTCCATACTGATATGAATAAATGATTGAATAAACAAACAAACAAAAAGAATAGAGAAGTCTTACATACAGAGAAAGTGCAAATAATCTTTTGTAGGTATCTACTCTCAAGTAGGCGGACCATAACTCCCAATTTTTTCAATGTAGGTTATGCATAGTAACTTCTTTCAAAAGAGTAAAGGGTGGAAATAAGGAAGTATAGTAACTCAATAATGGAGAAACGTGACAAACACCAACTAATTCAAGTGATTGAGGTCAACATCAGCAATGATAAATCTTGTTGATAGTATGTACCCGTGATACGATGTGATGGAAATGGCACTTTAACTCCATGGTCTTCTTCCCAAAACATGTAACTGCAGTCTAATCATGAGAAAGACATTAAATACCTATTGAGTGATGTTACACAAAAAGTCTGATTAGTACTCCCCAAACCTATCAAAATCATCCAAAACAAGGAATGTCAGAGAACCTGCCAAGAGGAGATTACAGAAACAGAATGGCTAGTAATATGGTATCCTCAATGGGATCCAGGAATAGGAAATTGACATAAAAACTAAGGAAATCTGAATAAAGTAGAAACATGAGTTAATAATGTTTCAGTATGATTCACTGTGAGCATAGTAATGTTAAGATATTAACAATACATATTAATATGTCAGTATTGATTTATTAATTGTGTACCATATCAATGGAAGATATAACCAATAAGGGAACTTGGGTGTGAAGTATATGGAAACTTTCTATACCATCTTTGCATTTTTTTCGGTAAATCTAAGACTGTCTAAACTATGAAGTTTATTAAAAATTACCAAAAGAATTCTAGGATAACTTTAAAAATAAATTGATTTCTACACTTAAAAAGTAAGCTTTCTTATAAAACCTCAAATCAAAAATGTGTTTTAGTATTTATTCATTATTCCAGTATTTAATTAACATGCCCCAATATTTATTTATGACACTATACCTTACATTGTTTTGGATGTTAAGATAGAGGCAACATCATCGATTTCATAGAGACTGTTAAAAGGGTGAAGAGGAAAATGCCAACTAACTAGAGTTTTAGGATATTAAATGGTTTTAAGATATTGAAAGTTAATTAAAGTTTTATATAAATTAATGCTTATTAATGCCTAAATCACTTCCTTATCCCCATCTATTTTAGGAAGGAATTATGTTAATTTGGGATGTAATGATAAGTAATTCTGACCCTTTGTATCAGTAGTTGATTCAAACTAATTATGACTTACCACCTACTCTGATTTCACTTCTGTATTTGATTGCATGCAAGAGTATGAATTTTGAATAAAGAAAAATATTAAACATTCAAAATATTTAAACTTACATTTACTCTGCAAGACAAATGCTCCTGTTTCAGTCTAAGTACCAATACTGTGGGAAGTGCTCTCTTTTCTTAAATGCAAGTTTAATTATCTTAAATACTCTGGCCCAGTTAGCTCCATAATAGTCCGTGCTGCCACATTGATAAATACTTAAAGTGTGTAATTATCATTCCTGTGTGTTCAGATGATGAATTTGCTAAATTGGGTATTTTATTTTTATAAGAATTTTATATTGATAACATGTAGCATGGAATTTCTTAAAGCAAATCAACAGGAGAGATGTTTAAAATAATCTCAGTGAAAACTGAGATGAAACTAACATGTTTTTAAATAAGCTGAATAAATCCTAGTCTAAAAAAGCAAATGGCATTAATATTGACAGCCAATTTACCCATGATCAGATCATGACACAGAAGAATATTGAACATGGGACTATTAGAAAAATTTGAAACAAATAATTTCAGGTAATTAATCAAATATTCTGCAAAAGCATTTATCCTATCTATCCGGAAGGTAAAATTCCAGCTCCAGATCCTGGACCAAAATAGATATCTGTGTTATTTTTTGTATACCTCTCTTGATAAAGAAAAGAATCTGAGTTGCAGTATCTTATTTGCAGTCCTGATCTGGGATGGGAGCAGAGTAGCCTGACATTTACAATACTTCAGTGGCAATTACAGCACAGTTAATAGATCAATTTAATTAAATTTCTATAGTGATTCATGACATAAAATATCAAAATAAGTTAACTTGCACAGAAATAGACAAAAGATCAATGCAGTGGGCAGAGAAACAGTGAATTAAATTAAAGTATAATTGCCATCTACTGAAAAGATTGTGTACCTAAGTAAGATTTTTGCAAAGAAATCTCTTAGATATCATTTAGGGAGGTTAGATAAAATAGATCCCGGAAGGCTCTAAAGATTCCTGAAGTCAGATTTAAAGCAATATCTAAATTATTTTTATCTTATTCTTAAAAGAAAAATCAAAGTACTGTTTGCACCAAATAAAAGAATTCTTATTTATTTTAACAAAGTAAAAGTCTTACATCTTACTAAGTATAGTATGAATTTTGCATTTTAAAGTGTGATTTTCCACTAAGTTCACAGTGTTTTTAGATAAACTTATATTACTGAAACATCTGTATGACATAAAATAAATGCTATGTGTCAAAGGAAGAATCTGTGTGTCAAAGAGAGAAGAGAGAAAGTGACGTGGTTGAGTGAGTTGATCAAGTTCTCCATCTTCTCACTACCAGTCTGAAGCAAGTATGATCACAGAGTTCTACAGCAATCAGCCTTCCTGCTAATAAAAGCAATTAGGGTTTTCAGTAATTAAAGAAAGAAAGAAAGGACATGCTCTTCACTTATAGTATACCAAGCTGATGAAACGGGTCTTACTGGTTATAATGAATGTGCTGGAGAATTAATAATATGTGCTTTTATGTGTCCCTGCTTTATCAGTAATCATCTTAAAGTAAATTTTCCTTGTGGTGCTAAACATCTTTATCTATAAAGAAGAATGAGTTGAATTGGATGTTTACTAAGACATCTTCTAATTCCAACATTTTGTAGTTCAATGATGGAAAGATTTACCTAGCTCATTTCCTGTGCTAGTAATCTTAATTTAGTTAATGATGGAGTAATTATTAATTTATAAACAACAAGTATTTTGGCTCATTGTGTGTGTGTGCGAGTGTGTGTGTGTGTATGTGTGTAAAAATTAGAGTGTGAACTAGCTCTGAAATCTTCCAGTAAGTCAAAAAAGAGTATCAGTAGCTTTGTGTGGACATGTGCTATAGAAATAGGATTACCAAAGATATTTGGTAAGGAAACTTGAGATGCCAACTTCAATAATGATCTGTTATCTTGAAAAACTCCATTGGTAATGCTAAAGGAAAATCATTGACACTAAAAAAAGAGAGTAAGTATGTAGATAAAATAGAGTCCTATATGCCTAGCAGTACTGCTGAGTCACTTCTCAGTTAAAATTAGGTTCATTTATGAGTAACAGAAAATCTCAAATTGTGGTAGCTTTTTCAAGATAGAAATTTTTTCACTCTCACAAAGTTATTGGCAGACTATGACTAATACGATGGCTCTGTTATCCGTAGGGACCAAGCTCCTTCTGTGTTCTCCCATCTGTAACGTGTGACTTCCCTTTGTTTTGTAAAATATCTATTCCAGTTCTAGATATCACATCCACATTCCAGTCTTCACAGGACTTGGGTTACCATCTTGCTTACATTCCACTGGTCACATGTAGCTGAAGAAAAACACTATCAAATACTGTATCTGTGGCAGCTCATTTGCCCAGCTTAAAATTCATAGGGTCTATTACTGTGAAGAAGATGACAATAGATACTGGGCAACAACTGGTGGCTTCTGCCACTAGTCTACCCTTTGGCCCAATGTCCCTGCATGTGTAATATATTCACCTCCCATCTTAAGGTATCTTCTGATTGTAGCTTATCAACCAAAAGAGAAGATATCTTCTCCCAGTATGGAACTATGGAGTTGGATTAGAATAACCTCAATTAAAAATTTCCATTGAGAAAAGGAAAGAATGTGAAATATCTTGAGGTTACTAGTTTATTAATAATTTTGTGTACTTACTCAAGATGATTTTTTATTAGTAGATTTCCAAAGTCAACAGCTCTCAAACTTTCTGGTATAAGGACCCTTTTACATTTTTAGAAGTTATTGATGGAAGCAACAAGTTTTTAAAAATATAGGGTCTATCTATCAGTAGTTGCTGCTCTAAAATTAAAAAATTAAAAATTAGAACTGAGAAATTTTAAAAATTAAAAAAAATACTATTATAACTAACAATATTATGTGAAATAATACCCAATGGATGCATGTTAACATATTTTTATAAAAAATAAATATATTTTTTCAAACCAAAAAAATAGTGAGAAGAGTGGCATCATTTAAATATTTGCAAATCTTTTTAACATCTGACTTAATAGAAGGCAGCTGAGCTCTGCCATCTGCTTCAGCATTTAATGTAATGTTGGTGAGGTGAATAAAGAAAATTTTGCTTCCCACGCATGGGAAGTTGGAAAAGAGAGGAATATTTTAGTAGCCTTTACAGAAAATTGTGGATATTCTTTTTTGATGCTACATCAAAACTTGACAAATGCAAGTTTCTTGAAGGTTAGTTGCAATGTGTAATCTGAAACAAAGGTAATTTTTTATACTGTTACTTTAAAATCTATTTTGTCTTCTGCATTTTGAATGGTCCTTTTACCCATGCATGGATCATTTTGAAAATATTGTTTCCCTAAGTTATTAAGGATTTTCAAGTGTTGACACATTTTGTTATATAATGTGAAAAAGAAATCATGTTTGTTAATATTACCATAAACTCTTTAAGTTTTAGGAAGCTGTCAAATTCAGTGATGCATATAATTTT